TTTTCAGACAGCAAATCAGAGCCAGAAAGGAGCCACATCAGATGCCAGTCTATTAAAAGAAACAAATACAGCACATGGTGCCAAGCAGGGTGGAAACAGGCCAATGCCAAGTCCTCTTGGCCCATGCAGACACTGATCTGTCCCTTTTCCTACATGTGATTAACAGTCTGGGATGGAGCAGGACAGCAGGGACAATTATTTGTCCCCTCTGTTTCTTTATTTAGGACATCACTAAGAACCATAGTGTCTGAGGAGTAAGACATTATTAAGAGAAAAGACCTGCAAGCCATTTAGCCCTGCTCTGGCATGTGTCAGTCCACAAATCACACTGCCTGGAACAGGCTCCACACAGGAACAGCAGCACTGAGTCCATGAGCTAATGGTTACCCAGAAGCCTGCAAAATAAACCTGGTCACCTTCCTCTACAATAAGCATTGTAAAAGCACACCCATGATAATGCAGCTGCCGCATTCCAAGGTGAAACTATCTAGGAAGACTTGGAAAAGATCAAAGAGTACCCTGTGAGCAGCAATGGGCACCCTCATTTCTTAAAGGACACTCCAAGGACCTTGGAGACCCGAGCTCAGCTCCCACAAGCTGACAACAGGCTGATCCCATGGGATCACAGTTTAGAGCTGGGACTGTGGCATTCACACATCTGTGACTCAAAGGCGCCACTTAGTGTGACAGTCATGAGCTCTCAGGCCACAGTCAGCACACAACGGGCTGCTTGGAGGGCAGGAAACTCCCACTTCAGGCTGAAACAGAGAAGAACTGACAGGAGACTGTTAAGGTGGGAGCCTGCTCAGAGAACTGTCAGCTACAGAGATGGAAATTTGTGGCCACTGCAGGTACTATAAATCCTGTGCTAAAATCACACTGCTTCCTCCCCGCTAAAGAAGAGCTGTCCCTGCAGGAGGAGGGTGGTTCTTTTTCTGCTGTAAAAACGCTCTAGAGCAACCACACATCTTTTTCTTTTACAAATATTCAAACAGAAAACAACCCCTCCCTTGCAAAGATGACAATCCCTCATCTGCCAGCTGCAGCAGAACCTGAGGTTCCACCTGACAGATGAGCTGAGCAGCACCAGGAAAACAAAGCAGAACAGGTCTCGAACACGACAAGGATGTTTTCAACAAAACACGTTCTGTTTGCAGGCAGAAGCACACACATCCTGCACATCCTCTCCAGGCCTGTCCCACGCTCCCTGGGCAGGCATGGCGCTCTGCTGCTCCAGCTCAGCCTCCAGCTGACGTGGTGGAGATCACTGCAGGTGTCTCAGGGTGACAGCAGCACACACAGAGCTGCCCAGCCCAAGGTGCTCCAGGCAGGATCATGCAGACCAAATCTTCATCGCGTTGAGCCCCACTTCTGATCTCACACCACGAAAAGCAACCCACTGAACCTCCGAAGTGCAGCAACGTGCTTGCACTGAGCATATTGTGGAAACAGATAAACAACCACCAACCAAACCTGCAGTTCCTGGTGGGGATTCCTGGGCACAGATCCTGCCAGTGCCCCGGCAGGAGGCAAAACCCTGCCCTGCTCTAGGAGGGCAGTGAGGCCCCACGAGGTGCAAGGACATAGCCAATGTCATCAAGACAAAAAGAAATGGAAAATTCATCTCTTGTCTCCATCACTTTGGTCATCTTTGAGACCCAGAGCTGCTGCTAGAACTCCTGTGGATCTGTTGTACTGACAGGGAACCTGAGCCAGAAGGGAACAATTTCTGGGCTGTCCTCACAAAACAAGTCAGGAGCAGAGGGGGCCTGAGCTCACCAAGGCCAGTGGGAGTGCCCCAGTCCTGTTCTCTGATGCCATTTCCAACGGTGTGGAAATGTGGGACCAGAGTCCCAGGGAGTGCTTAACTGGAAAGATCTGCAGCTGTCCTGCCATCCACACAGCAGGAAAGTGCCCTGGCTCACACTCCTGCTCATCACACTCTCTTCTCCAGCACTTCTCACGTAATCCCTGCCTACTGCCAAAGCCAGGGACACCCTCTCCAACCCCCCTCTCCCTGGATGACCCCACACCTCATCCTTATCCCATTGTATCCCAACAACTCCTTTCCACTCAGCCCCCATCATTCTCCCTGAATCCCACAGAACTCCTTTTTCCACCTCCCATGTCCTTACTCATCATCCTGGGTGTCCCCTTACCCCTGACCCCCTTCCTGCTCTCCCACCTATCTCCTTCCCCAATCTCTCCATTCTCCCATCTTGCCTGGTTCTCCAACAGTCCCTTGGTCTGATTCATCTGCCCTGGAGCCACCAGACTCCTTTTCCCCAGTGGAACCCCTCCATGTATTGCTTATCCCCTCTGGATCTCATACAACTCCCTTCACCACATTCCCTTTCCCTGGTCTTCCCTAAACCTCCTCCTTCTCCTCTCCCTTTGCACTGCATCCTTTCCCTGCATTTCCCCACAACTTCACTTCAATCTTCCCTAAATTCCATCATCTCCTTTCCCCATCTTCTCTGAACATCCCTCCAATCCCCTCTGCCCTCGTTCCTCGAGTCTCCCCTGAATTCAAGAGCCCCCCACCCCGTCCATCCCTGCTGTTACCTCAATTCCACCATCTCCTTCCCCAGTCCTCCGAATCCTTCCCTGACAACTCCCCCATCTCTTTTCCTTCCATCTTCCCTGCATCCCGACAACTCCTTCACCTGGTCCTCCCCAGCCTCGCCCAACCTCTCCCGCCCCAATCCCCTTCCCTCCCGTCACCCCCGGACCCTGCCCAGCCCCATTCTCCCTCTGTTCTCCTCGGGCACCCCCTGTTACCCTCCCTCCCCAGATCCTTGCCCATCCCTCTGAGTAGCCCCCGACCCCCTCCGCGCTGGCCCTCCCCGGCCTCATCTGGAGCCGCCCCGGCCCCTTCTCCACACCGGCTCCTTCCAGCGTCCCCCTGCTCGGCCACTCCATCCCCTCTGGCCCCTCCGGCCCCTCTCCTCACCGGTACAGCCGCTTGGTGTGCAGCACCTTGGCCTCCGGCTCGCCGCTCTCGCCGGCGGCCCCGCCACCCTGGCTCATGGCGCCCGCGGCGGGCCCGGCCCGGCCCCGCGGCCCCTCAGCACCGCCCGCGCCGGCGTCGCCGCCGCCCCCGGGCCCGCTCGGCCGCCATGGCTGCCCCCTGTCCCTCGCTGCTCTCGCGAGATTTCCCGCGGCTGCGCGGCGCCGGACGGGCAGGGCGGCGGCGGGGGCGACCTCGCCTCGCGAGAACCGAGCCGCGCGAGAGGCCCGCACTTAGTGCTGGCAACATGGCGGCGGCCGCCTCAGCCCGCCGGGCCGAGGGGCAGGGCGGGCCCGGCGGGCCGGGGTCCCCCTGCCCGGGTCGAGGGCTGGAGCAGAGCCCCCCCCCCGTGGCTGTGGGGCGGGGAGCGGGGGGAACGGCGCAGGAGTCCCTCCCTGCTCTGGGATCCCGCTGTGCCGGGGGTCCCGAGGGACCGGCGGGTCCTGTGGGGCCGCGGCTCCCCCGATGGTGTCTGCAAGCTGAGCCTTCTCACCTTTTGTAAACATAACTATGCCGTCACGTAGCTTTTGTAATAAAAGTTGCTCAATAAAATAAAAATACTTGGTATTTCAAGCATTGTGTTAGGTTACGCTACATAAATATTCTTTAGGTGGGTGGGGATGTGCATTAGACGAGTTAATGTAAATTTTACCGTATAAAAGATGTAACTTCGTGTTACCCTTGGTGCGCTTGATTTGTGGAAAACTCCACCTCGCACTCTGGGAGAATAAACAAGGACTGACTTCTCTGTCTCCTTTTTAAGCTGTGTGTGTGTGTTTAGAGAGCTCTTTAACGTGGCACCCCAGAACGGCCCGCGCAGGGGTCCGGGGGTCCGGGCCTGCCACGGGCCGCAGCGCCGGGCTCACCCCGTCCCCTCCGCCGAGCCCCCGGGGCCGCGGCCGGGCTGGGACGGGCGCAGCGCCCGCCCCTCCGCCCGCCCCACCTGAGCCGGTTCGGCAGGTTTGAGGCGGAGAGGCGGCCGGGAGAGCGCTGGAATCCCGCAGGGTCCCGCAGAGCTGCCCCATGGCCCCCCGCCTGTGCCCGAGTGAGTGCTGCAGCCAGGGGAGGTGCTGCCACGGGGGAAGCGGGGCTGGGGGCTGCGACAGGGGCTGGGGTCCGGGATCGGGCGCTGGAGGTGCGGGAGGCCCAGGGAGCTGTTCCAGCCCTGCTTCCGTGTGTGGAGCTCGGAGGAAGCCCCGAGCGGCTCCATGCCTCAGTTTCCCCACACCTGTGGCCAGGTCAAGGTTCATGAGGGTGCAGGGATGAACGTGCTGAGGGCAGTGAAGGAGCGATGTTCATTGCAGGAGACAGGTGGGACACCCGAGACGGGCCAAGAGACAGGGTTCCCCTAAAGGGTAACAACACAGGAGCTCTGCCTGTGCCTCCTGCACCCACGGAAGGGTACCCAGCAGCCCCTTTTGCCCACTCCACATCAGTCTCAGCTACCAGAGACAGCAAACCTGGCCCATGCTGGCTGTAGCCACAGTTCTGGGAACCAGCTAGGTCGCCTCTCCCCAAGGCTTGGCTGGTCCTGGCCCAGGAGAGAGCCACTTAGGCACCAGTTGTATCATCCAGGCTGTGCCCCGCCAGAACCCCCAGGATGTTTGTTCAGCAGGGGAAGCAATTCCCGGGCTGCCCCGTTTTGCAGGCAGACCTGCACCTCCAGGGTTCACCTCTCCCAAGACAGTACCTGACCCCGCTGCCAGGGGCCAGAGCATGGGGACACCAGGCACTGCTTTCTCCTCCTAGTGCAAGGACAGGTGGGTGGTGGGGGCTCCAGGGGTGCCAGTTTGCTCCCACTTTGTAACTGGGGATGTGCACGTGACCGCAAACTTCTCATTTCTGATGTAAATTTATCTGTTTCCTTTCTCCTGGTCCAGGGTGAAAGCAGAAAGGACAGGAACTTTGTCCCCTCTGAACACCTCAAGTGCAGGCAGCAGTGTTACCAGCCTCCAGCTGCATCCCTGGCAGTGTGGAACTGGACGCTCTCATGGCTGCTGCAGACCCTGTCCTGCCTCCCGAGGAGGTGGCTCTGCTGGAGTTGGGGAAGGTGGCCCTGGACAAGGTGCCACCAGCCCCAGATGAACACCTGGGGGACCCTGATGCCACCTTGCCATGGGACCAGAGTCAGCCCAATGCCCGGGGCCAGCCGGAGCTCGTGGAGACAAAGAGGCGCTCGAGTCCTGAGGGGGGCCATGAAGACCCCGGGGAAGCTGTTCCCACCTGCCCTACAGTCGAGGCTGAAGATGAGGAAGTGCCCCGGCTGCCCGTGATGGCAGCCCACGTCTTTGTGCCCATCGACCCGCAGTGCATCGAGCAGAGCCCCTTCAAACAGAAGCAGCACCCGACCCCATGGCCCCGGGAGGAGGGCAGGGGGGATGTTCCCCCCAGTGTCCCCCCCAGTGACAGACCCAGCAGCCTCCACCACAAGCAGGTCTTCCTCCCCCTCGGCCCCTCGCGCTACCGGAACCCACTGGGCTTTGAGGGGCGCATGGCCAAGCCCCCAGCCGAGGGGTCACAGTGCCCGTGTGCCAGGGACTGTGGCACTGATAATCTCAAGGCCGTGGCATCGGTGGCAGGGGCCCTGCTCCTCTGCCCTTGCCTCATCTATGGAGCCTACATCTTCTTGCCCTTCGATGCCCCGCTGCTGCCCACCATCAGCGCCCGCCTGGTCTACACACTGCGCTGCGCCACCTTTGCCACCTTCCCCATCGTGCTGGGTGAGCCATGGGCTTGGGTATGAGCGCTTTGCTCCTGCTCTGGGCTGCATGAGCCCTGGGGCTGCAGGAGCAGAGCCGGGCTGAGCTCTTTGTGGTTCTGTTGTTCCCACCAGGAGCAGCAGATGGAGTTTTTCTCCCCTGCTGGTGCTCGCCAAGCCCCACCGTGGCTCCTCCGGGCACCCACTGAGCCCCTCTCTCTGTCCCTCAGGAATGATTGTCAGCGGCATTTCCCGCCTCTGCTCCTCTGCCCTGGAGCCCTTTGGAGAGCTCCACCGGGAGGTGGAGATCCACCGCACTTACGTCTCCCAGTCCGTCCACCTCTTCATCCTCTACTTCTTCAACATGGCCGTGCTGGCCACCTACCTCCCACCGGAGCTCCTCAAGCTCATCCCACTGCTCACAGGGCTCTTCGCCATCTCCCGGTAAGTGGCTACTTCACCCCAGGCTGCTGTTGGGCTCTGTCAGTGCCAGCTAACACCATCCCTTGGAGCAAACTCCCACTCTGGCAGCACCTCACCCAGCTCACCAGAGCCAGGAAGGGTTCCTCTTCCTACAGCAGCCATGCCTGGGAAATCCTCACTGGTCAGAACCACTGAGTGCCAGCCCCATAGCATCACCTTGGCTGAGCCCGCACCCTCTGCCTTCTCCAGGTTGATTTTCTGGATGTCCTACGCCATCGGCCGCTCCTTCCGTGTCTTCGGCTTCAGCATGACCTTCCTGCCGCTGCTGGCCATGCTGCTCTGGAACCTGTATGGCATGTTCATCCTGGAGCCCGAGAACCTCCTCTCTGTGGCAGCGCCAACGCCCGAGGGCCACTCCAAGGAGAGCCGAGCTAAACTCCGGCACTGGGGCTGAGGGAGGCCGGGAGATGGGGCGCCTGGACCCTGCGAGTTTGAGCCCTCCTTCGTGCCCTGCCTCAAGAGTCCTGACAGCACAGGGGTGCTGGCAGATCCAGCTGGGCCCCTGCTCCCTGCCTGGACACAGGGAGGTTTTGCTGGGCCCCCAGAACCAGGCTGCAAACCCTGTGCACCACGAGACTTCTGCTGGAAGGTGAACAAGGCCCAGAGCAGGGCACAGTGAGCCCTCTTCCCTGGGAATGGGTGGGATTTGCTTCCCCTCCTGCTGGAGCCAGCTTTGCCCAATAAAGCTCTTACCAAGCAGCTCTGTGGTTGGTTTGCAAACGGTGAGTTAAATTCCCCACAGAATGACTCAGAGCTTCGCCTACAGGATGCAATCACCCAGCCTCAAAATTATGTTTCCAAGAGGGAAAAAATGTTTCCCCCAAACTGTCCCTTTCCCAGCCCTGCATCCCACTCCTGGGTCCCTGCATAGCCAATCTCTGTTCGTCCCTCCTCTTCCTCCTGGTGGAGGTTCAGCACCAGTTCACAAAGCAGTTGGTTGCACAGGAGGGAGGAAGCCCTCCCCAGGGAGAAGACAGGCTGGGTGACATGGCACCAGGTTTGCCACTGGCCAGGGCTAGGGATGGCCAGTCCTCCCCAGGATGGGTGCTGAGCCCCTCCTTCTGCAGACATGAATGGACCCCCTGGGAGTCACATATTTGATGGCCTCAGTTCTCAGTCATAACCTAAAGCAGTTAAAAATCCACCCAATCCAGGAAAAGCCACTCCAGCTCCAGATCTGCCGCATGTCTGGCTTGTCCCACCTCCCATCCTGCAATGCTGGATCACAGGAACAGCCCACCCCAACCAGAGAATGGGAATCAAGGAGCTGAGGGACTGCAATGAAGCTGTGTCAGGGGAGGTGTCTTGATTTGAAAGCCAGGTATCCACCAAGGAAGGCAGGAACTCCCCTGCAATGGAAAATGTGACCCCCTTCCCTCCAAATTATTTTAACTCTGAAATCAAAGGGCTTTCAGGCAAAGATATGGGAAAAGAGATATACATACAGTTCTTTACTAGTATGTGTATGTATAACTAGGAAACAACAATGTGAAAACCACGTTCACTCTCCTGTGAAAATTTTAAAAGTTTAATAAAGGGCAATAGGAGACAAGGACCATAGGGCAGAGGTTGTTAGGGTGCATCTCAGCATGCAGCCAAGACCACACTGTTATCTTCAGGGATACCCCTTAAATACCTTTTCCCTTCCATCAGCCTGTTGCATATTCGTAGACTCTTATGCAGAGTGAACTTTTTCCCCAAATTAGTTTACATGTTCCAAAAATTGTTTCATTTATCTCCTTGGATCCACCTTTTAGAGTATGCACATTCCTTGGTTGTGGTTTTAATCCTTTTTTATCATCACCTTCAGTTTGGGCCTCAGCCCACATTGTCTTCAGATGGTGGGTGATGATAGTTGGCATATATGTAGCAGATATGTTCATCCTGTTTTCACTGGATGTTATCCCATACAAGCAGGCATTTTAACACAAGCATATCAGCCATTTCATTAGTATGTCTAAGCTTAATTAACAACAGAAATAAAAACTATATCTTTATAGCAAAGTTATTTTAACACCACACATATAAAATCCATTTTAACATTTGCAAAAAGCCGCTATTAGAATATGTATCCATAACAAACAACAGTGGCAGCAAAACCAGACAAAACCAAAAAACCCCATAAAGTCTCTTTGTTAAAAAACAGGACCACACTCCTCGTACTAAAAGTGGTTTCAGCATTTATTATAAAAAAGAAAGACCTAAAGCAAGGTGGCCTGTGGGCCGAGCAGGAGCATTCCTGTTGAGGATGCTGCAGCGCTGGCACTGGGGTTTCTTGAGCAGCGAAATCCCTGATGTTCCAGGTGGAGCGGCACAGATTCAGTGGGTCAGATGCCCTTTTTATCCTGTTTTTTGTCCCTTTGGATTGCTTTTTGTTGGGATCTTTCATTTCCATGAAGATTTAAGATGCTTCATTGGCCATTACAGTTCTGTCCAGGCTGGCTCATTTCGCTTGGGGGGTGGTGCACTGGTGCACTTTACTCAGGAGTAATACAGTACATTGAGTACCATATTTCTTATAACTACCCTTTTAACCCCTTTTACAATATCATAACCAAATAACAGTACACGCTTAACAATTACCAACTATTTTCCAACACTTTCTAACCTGTTTTTGACATTTCCTCTGTCGAACATGCCTGATACCTAAGACCCCCTTCTAATGTAAATCCCCCCGCCTCTTTGTCTTTTCCTTGTATCAATCAGTGGAATTCCTATAGCATTAATAGTTTTTCCCATTATTTCTTTAATCTCTCGTATCCAATTTTATTTATCAGCAGACCCACAGTTTGTGAGGACAAATGCCTCGTTCCTTTCAGGCCGCAGGGAAACAGGCAAACTGCTCCTTACAAACCCAAAATCCCGGCCAAACCTCCTGGGTAGCCCCTTCCCTTTTTTTTTTTTTTTTTTTTTTTCCTGGACCATTTCAATGGAATGTTGCGACCCAGCGACACCTTTTGTTTGTTAATTGCCCCATTTGTCTCTCAGGCAACGCCGCTGCCCCCCATTGCCTTTCCATTTCTGGCCCATCCAGTTCTGCGTTAATTGCAGGGACTGAGGGCAGAGCTCCAGCCCCTTTTGCCCTTTCACGGTATCAGTGCCCAGAAAAGCTTCCACCTGTGCACATTTTTCTCTCTCAAATCACTCTGCCACACTGAATCGTTAAAACCGAAAATCGCGGACAAAGACTCTCTAACTAGTCAAAGTTAGAAAATGAGATGTTTATTATGCACGGACGGGGTCGTTCCTGAAACGCGTGACCGCACCGCACAAGGATTTTTGCCTTCCATTTATTTCCCAAAATTGTACATGTGCACAACCCCAGCACCGCCCATCCCCGCTCTGTATTAAAATGAGGTTATTAGTCCTTCACGCGTGCGCAGTTCTTCTCTTTAATTGGGTCGGTGGTCTCGAATTGGGTCAGCGGTCCCAGGGATGAAGTCAGGAGGGTTTTTGCCAGGTCTCTGTGACCCTCTGGCACGATCCAAGGCCCGCTGCTTTGTGATGGATTAACAGAGTCCAGGTGCTGAGCATTGCTCTGCTGGTTTCAGTATGTTCCTAAAATGCGTGCTCCACTTCTTTCTACAAATGAGCTCATAATATAACAATTAGCTTTAGCTTAATCATCTAATAATCATTAACTTATCGTTGGTGTATTTAACTTCAATATGAATTGGTTCTAAGCCTCAGCTAAAATTTTTAAAATCGTGATTCACTACAACAAGGCTTTGTCTTCCCCTGTCACAGTTACTGATCCCCTCCAGCTCCCAGGGTGGCAGCAGCTGGCAGACAGGAAAGAAAATACAGGGAAGATGTAGATTGGATGCATTAACCTCTGACAGCCAGCACGAGGAAGGTGCTTTGCAGAGAAAGTCGTGTCTCTTTATAGAAAGCTCTGAGTTTCTCAGGCCCAGGACAGGTGGCTGTGTCACTGATTGGAGACTGGGAACAGGCTGCCCTGGCTGCAACAAATCCTGTGGAAAGGTGGGGTGGGAGACAAGTCCAGGCTATGCTTGGGTGGCCTCAATGGTCAACAGGTAATGAACCTCTGGGTTGTTTCCATGGTCAGCATCTTGGAGAAGCTTTGTCTGGGAAAGGAGCAGGGAAAAGATGAAAGTAAGGGAGGGAGTAGGAGAAAGTGTTAGGGGGGTCTGGGTCTTATTTGGGGTTTTTTAGTTATTTTATATTTTTTAAAGGCAGGCACATGCATGCTGCGTGCAGGATCACTAAAAGAAGTATTGATGATGATGTTGATGTCATATTAGACTCTTGACACTAATGTAATTTTATATATTGGGTTTGGTTATGTGGAGGAGCAGCTGATTCTACCCTTTTCCACTCTTTCTCTTTCCCTCACCTGTCCTAGTATCACCTGGTGGTCTCTCCCCTGGGTTACCCCTCCCCTAGCCACTCCTCACTGGTATCACATTGGCTGGACCTCTCCCTCTGTCCCCATGGGGGGGTATAAAAGCTCCCTGCTGCCAGGGAACTCTCTCTTTTCTCTCATGGGTTTGTCCACCTGATGTGTGTCTTGGAATCAAGGACAATGTTTCCCACGAGGAGGAGAGCGCTTCTCTAATCTTTTACCTTCATCTATGAAGTATCGTGTGGGCAAGGGTCTATAGCTGGCCGGAGTGGACCCCAACAGCCCAGGAAACACGTTTCTTCAGGGGAGCTGGGGCAGGGTCCCTGAGCCAGCCTGGCTCTCCCGTGGGGCCCATCAGGAGCAGCTGGAGCTGGAGAAGCTGGAGCAGGAGCAGAAGGCCGGCCTGCAGCATGCCCTGGCCAGTGAGCTCCAGTGGCAGATCCAGGAGCTCTAGCAGCAGTGGGAGAAGTTGGCTCAGCAGGCTCCTCATCAAGGAGGGCCATGGTTGGCAGCACGGGCAGGAGGTCTGGCAGCACAGCCAGTGCCTCACCCAGCTCAGGCAGCAGGACCTGCAGGAGTTCAAGTCAGTGGCTGCCAGCGCTGCTTCTCTGGGCTCCATGGCATCCCATCCTGGGCTGCCTCTCAGGTGCCCTTGCATCCTCAGCAAGCCTGCTGAGGGGCCCTGGACACAGAGCCATTGGGATCCTGATGGGTTCTTTCCTCTGTCAAGCCACAGGAATTCCCAAGAAGTACTGTGCCCAAGTGAAACACAGAGTGGAGGGCCTGGAGCTGAGCCAGCACAGCCCCAAAAGGAACCAGCTCCAATTTCCCAGTGATTTGAGTGTTCAGTTTCATTTACTGATGTTTCCAATAACAGATGTTTCTGGAGCAGACAGTATTTTCCATTCTTCCCTCACCTCAGGGCTGTGAGGAAGGAGCCAGCAGGACAGGGAAGAGTTGGAGAAGCACTGAGGCTCTTTGTCCCACCTGCCCTACTCTGGGGACAGAGGTTGTCCCTTGCCCTGTCC